CGCCGTAAGTGCCCTTACGCGGGAACTGGGAGGCTGACAGACTTTGCCTTTGCGCTTGCTGCTGCGATCCCCAAAGATGATGTTAGCAGAGCAAGCCCAGAAGTGGTTCCCAACTCACGTGCAAGTTACGGTCCTTCAAGCCAAAGGTCTGAAGCCAAAAGGTAAAAATGGCAGCAACGATGCCTACACCATCATACAGCTGGGCAAGGAGAAGTATTCCACCTCGGTGGCCGAGAAGACCCTGGATCCCATCTGGAAAGAAGAGGCCTCCTTTGAGCTCCCTGGATTACTCATGCAGGAGAATCCAGAAAAATACATCCTCTACCTGATTGTCATGCACAGGTCGCTGGTGGGGCTGGACAAGTTTTTGGGACAGGTGGCGATAAGTCTGAATGATATATTTGAGGACAAGCAAAGAAGGAAAACAGAGTAAGTGATGGTTGGTTCTTTTCATTATGATTTGTATTCCTGATGAACTTGCACTTGGTGGGGTGGCGGGGGAATAGTAGCCTTATTATCTACGTACTTTGAAATGAAATTAGGACATTTCTCTTCTATGGTGTGTTCAAAGCCCCCAACATACACAGTTATGTCAGTGTGGCCCGACCTCTTCCACAGGGAAGTTTACTGTAATCAGTAAACTGCTCTGCACAGGGAAGGACTGTCAATAACATTCATGGTTTTTGACAAATTCTTGTGTGCAACATAAACTCCTTACAGTCTGTTTTTCTGAAGATTTTTCTTCGTTCTGCTCAGGGCCATATCCCCATTCAACTCCTACCTCAATTTGAACCATGTTTGAGCGAACTGTCTCGAAGCTTGGTGGTGTTCTCTTTAAAAATGTTTTCCTTCAATTGCTGCAACCAAGCGCCTTTAAATATTTTATATTTATATTTTAGTGGTCAATGAACTGTGACTTAATGAAGGCTTACCACAGCAACACAGTGCTTTTCTGATCTTGATTAGTTTTGGGCCGTGATCCTGCAGGTTGCTCCATGCAGCAGGCCTCAACAGAGAAGACTGAAGAGAAATTTCTGCTGTTGTAGTAGCCTCCATCATTACCTCCATAAGCCTTTGTCAAATAAAATTGCCATTTGCAAAGAAATTCTGGCACTGGAATAAAAAAAAAAAAATCACAGCAGTTTATTAGGCTGAACTGTAAACGTATCTAATTCTCTGGGTTTTTCAATTGAATTAGTAAATTTGTTTATAATTTCTACTTAGGACATGGTTGCACAAAGATGTCTGGTACCAGTGTAATTTGTCCTCCAAAGTGTATAAGAATAAGCTGTAGGTGTGAGCATACTGCAGGCATGGCTGTGACTACATGATTTGTGTTTGGTTTAGCTGTCTGCCCCATAGAAGTAGTCCAAGAACAGCATGGAGACCTCCAAGCTATATGTAGGCAGTGACATATGAGCGCTGACAAATCTTTCTGCAGCAGTTAGAAAGTTCCTGCTGCAGGTGCCTTTCCTCCTCTAGTGTCTCTCCAGCAGAGAGGAAGGGCTCCAGTGCCCAAATCTCAGCTGTTAACATTTTGTATTTATTCTGTTGATGATGGTGGGTCTATGGTAAGATGCTGGCATCAAAGTGCCTAAGAGGCTGGCATCCTATGTCTATTACTGACTGTACTGGGGGGGTGTTAACCCCCAGCAGAGTCCAAGTGGGCAGTTGGAGGCAGGAATCAGTACAGCAGCACCAGCCAGGTCTTGTTGATCAGACAGCTGTTTCTGTAGAAACCATCTCAAAACCTGGTCCTGCTTATGTGCGGTGGCGGAGTTTGAAGGAGCACCAAAGACAAGTCAAAGCTGGCTTTGCCCCAGTGTTTGGGGTGGGGTTTTTTTTTTTTTTTTGGTAAATGAAATTTTTATCAAAACAGTATGTTTATTAACCATATCATAGGGAACATGTCCATGCAGAATCTCTTGTGGGTTCCTGGTCTGAAGTATTATACTTTTTAATTGCTTATCTCTTTAAGGACCAGTCAGTTACCTTGATGCAATACATGGTAATGCCTGTAGCCTTAGGGTCTAAATTTCTATTTACACTTGACTGAAGAAGCTTCAGTGCTCTTTAAACATGCATCTTAAAGACTCTTTAATCATCAGTTGTAATTATCTTGCAAGTCATAGGCAACTACTTTAGTACTTTAGCTACCTAGCTGCTCTACAGAAAAAAATGTGAGCGAGTGAAGTAGAAATGCTACTACCTGTAAAAACTTTGTAAATTCAGAAACTGCAGGAAAATATGTAATTCTTTATGTATTACTGTGAGTAACAAAACCTCCTTTCCCTTTGGGGACCCATATGCTTTTGCAGCAATTTTAGCAAAAGTAGTATTGGAGTCTTATGCTTTTACAGCAATTTTAGCAAAAGTACTATTGGAGTCTTACAAAATTATTCCAAAAATTTGTAAGTGGGGTAATTAATATAGTCCTTGTGATAGTTAAATAAACATTAGGATCTCTTCAGTATTTTAATATGAAGTTGTGATAGCAGGGCTTCGTAGGCATTCTTTATTTTTTCATCTCTTTCTCTGAAGCGTGAGAGAGGAACTCATGCTATGTAAATGTGCAGTGGTGCTTCCCTAGACCACCGCTGAAATTACCGGGGCTCCCCCAGAAAGCTGCGCTCCGCCTGCGAGCTGTACTGCAGAAGATGGGGACCTATGGGGAAATTTTACAAACAGCCTCAGTCCTATTTTCAGAAGTTACTCAAGCATTTAAGATTGCAAATCTTATTAAAAGTTGATGGGTGTTTGGATTCTAGAGCCGAACAGCTGTACTTGTAAAAGCCTTACGCATATGTAAAAGTGCAGATAGGCGGTTAGTGGGATTTTTGCAGCACGTCCTCACTTAATGTCGATTTAAATTCTTAGGAGGTAGGAGCCACTGAAGTCCAGTTTTCCTGTTGGTGTCTTTAGGTGCTTAGAAATCTAGAAGATGTCCTTTTTGAAACTCATTATTGAAAAAATAATTCAGAGTCCTTAAGCATTTAGATGTTTTTGAAAAGTTTTCAGGGTTGTCTACTCGTATGCCTTTGTGGACCGTGTGTGTGTCGTTGCTGACTCTAAGTGTTAGTTGGAGATGTGGATGCAATATTTGTACATATATGTGGGAGGAGGGCAAACTTTCAAGAATATATTTGCAAATGTGATCTCAAACAAAACACCCTTTCTTTTTTTTTCTTTTAATAAATCCTTTTTGATACAAAATATTCCTAGTCCTGTGTTGGCAGTAAACTAAGGGTAATATATTTGGACCTGAAGACCTTCTAGCCGTGACTATAGTGTGGGAACTGAGATACCCAGTGCCTTTCAAGACCAAGACCAATGTCTTTATTACCAAAGCATTCTGATGGTTGAAAACTATATTCATTGTTTCAGAAACACTAATCTGTTTTATTAAGCAATGTTTTTACTTTCAAATATGTTCAACAGGCTTGTGGTGTTATTAAATCCAGAGTTATTTTCTCATGTTGATGTAACCTTAACATTTCTTGCTTTGTTTGGGGATGAATGAGATCCAGTTATTTGATGAAGTGTCTATTGGTAATATTTCTACTTTTTAATATATTTAATAGCTTCCTCTTTCCAACACAGCTGTACATATGGTGCTGTAAGAGACAGACTCAAGAGTCACCAGGGTATTGCAAAAAAGATATTTAATATTCTGCACAATGCTGAACCCTGTCAGCAATTCCCTGGTGCTTTTTTAGTAAGGAGGCATGAGAAGTGAGGGCTACCAGCTGATTTTTAATTCCTAGGAAGACCGCGAGGTGTGTGACATTCAGCTTTTTGTATATTTTTGTTGTTTACTGTTTTATAATTTGGAAGAAGTAAATTTGAAAATTTGCTGCAGCTTCTGAGACATTATGTTAGGAAAAAAGAATCCTTTTTTTTCTGTATAGCTTTTTTTGTTACTTGTCACACCTTAAGAAAAATATTCTGTGCTGTAAAGTTTTCAGGCAGAGACCTCATGATAGGATTTGCATGTTGTGTTCTAATAAACCTGATTTCACACAATATTTAATGAAACAAAGCAGTATATTTACTATAATTTGATAGTGAAAATCTTGTACGCACCGTCACGCAATGTCCTTTCTCTTTCTTTCTGAAACCGATGATTTTTCAAATTCTTAAAAGTGAAAATTCCTGGAATGGTTAGATCCAGATGTGGCTCAGATGGTCCCTTACTAGGTCTCTTCCTGAGACCTCAGCCAAAGCATCTGCAGGATCCTAGTTCATTTTCTTTCTGTATTAGTGCAGAAGTGCCCATCACACTGTGGTAACTTTGTAAATTTGTGTCTCTGGCACCTCTGCTGTAGTTGGAAATGGACAGGCTCTTTTTACTCCTGCTCTTTTCTCCAGAGTTGAAACTGAGGCTCCAGATGCTGAGAGATTTTACTGAGGGTTTTTTAACAGTTCAAAAATCTTGGGAGACACTGTTTTATTGGAAGTATATTTAGCATAAGTTTTCAGATCTTAAATTTCTGACATGGTTTTATTTTTTGCAGTAAAATCCTGTAGGTTTTTTTAATACATTCTGAGAAATACATGACAATTTTTTTTTTGTCTGCTGTTGCAGAAAAAATACACCTCTCTTGCTCTTACACTTTAAATGTAAATTATTATCAACGAATGTGTTGTTTTAAAGCATATATATACATTTTTTTTTCATAATTTCAATTCAGTTATAACTCGTAGTTGCCTTAACACTACTGAGGATCTGACAGTGTGTAACATGAAAACAAATTTTTGAATTATCATGGAATAAAAAATAATCATGTACTGACACGTCTTAATTTACTCAAGTATTTTTTGGTAGTTTTTCTTAATGACAGTGCTTAGGTATTTTTCTCCTGTGTGCTAAATGAACACAGCAATAGAAGAACAAATTTCCATTCACTGTCACCATGATGTTACTTATTTCATTGACATTTGCTCCATCCTTCTTGTTCTCTAATTCCACACTATTGTCTGTTCCTTTATTGGCTTGTCTGGAGAGCTAATGTTGTAATACCCTCAGATGATTTAAGATGCAACACTTGTCTGGAATGTTATAAATTTGAGGGGGGCAGGTGATGGTACAGTTAATATTTCATAGGGAAGTTTTGTTGGAGGAGAGATTTTTTATTTGTGACTTAATTCCCCTTTTCCCTGGTTTCTGTAATACCTCAACTATCCCCGACCCCCCCCCCCCCAAAAAAAAAAAACACCACAGCAGACTTGAGAAACTTTTTAAAAGTAAAATGGAGAATTCCTTAAAAAAAAAAAAAAAAATTCTTA